TGTCATTTCCCTGCTTTTGGCCATTATCCTAGGATTTTGGCCAAAATCTTAATTCTGCTATCGTACTGCGACATATACACACACAAGCTAGGTAGATTGATGGTAAACATCACCACGTTTGACGATATTATCAGAAAATGTCTTAGATACTACGCTATAAACCCTCATGTCGACTGGAAAGTTGCCAATACATGGCATAACTCTTCTTCTTGGCATAATTAAAAAAAATAGTAGGTAGGTAGATATGTTTTGAAAGTTATTTACTGCATAATAAAAGTTGATTGAGGAAACTATTTTTATTACATTTAGGTATGTCACTAAAGTTTCGTTTCACATAAATCACAAACATAAACACAACACAAATCTATAAAACAAGTTAATCTACATTTAAATCCCTTTCATTTGAGACCCACATCAAGTGAGTGGGTCGGATAAGTACCTAGTCATCGAGATACATTGTTTAACAGTAAATTCCGGCAGCCATCTTGGTGACGTCATAACTACCCTTTTACTACATTTACTACTTTTACGGTCTACTGCAGCCATTTTGGCGGACAGGGCAATATGCCTAATAAAATAATGCCTAATAATTACAAATTGAGATTCTATTATTTGAGGACTTTTTGATGAAGCTGTCTGACCTACTTACTTACCTACTAATTTTATTTGGATCGTATTTGGCTACTAAGTCGTCGTATCTATATAAAACTAAGAGAAGCAGCCTATCGTTAGCAGTTATTGATAATAGTCAAGCACAGTAGGGAGGAAAAAATAAAATAATCGTTCGAAATTTTCTACCGCGAAAAGTAAGTACTAGCGACGCCTCTACCAACTGGGCTCTGGCGGCATAATCGTTGCCCGCGAAATTATTCCAGTGCATTTTAATGCCATAAAACGTGGTATAGCTCCATCTAATGAGTATGGGTATGGTTTATTTATGGGTACCAATATTGTATATTAAGTAGTTTGTAAAGTTATTCACAGTGCAAGGTGTTTTGTTTGTGTTAATCAGTTACCGAGTTTACCTACGATCGGATTAATGTTATTAACCGGCCCTAGGCCCCAGTCGATAAACACGCAACCGTAAACAAGTGCTAACAAAATGTTTACCATGTTGTAGGCAGATGTAGATGTACAACTAAAGTTGTTATTATTATAGGTATTATAATATTAATTGAGAAAACATTAAACCACTTTCACAGTTTAGAAAAAAACATACAAACTTCAAACCCCCGTTTTACGTGGTTATGGGCTTGAACTTTAAAAAACTGGCCAAGAGCGTGTCAGACAAGCCCACACATAGGGTTTCGTAGTCAACGTTTAAATAACAGGTTTTTCGCGTTACTAAGTTAATTTTATTGCTGGTTTGTTTGTATGGTTACCAACCGCAAAAAGAAAAACATTTATTTTACTGAAATCTTTTTAGTGTCTCGATTTTTCTGATGGGAAGTGTATTTGCTACAAATATTACTACAAATATATTTTGTAGTATCTGTACTATAATCTCAAAGAGTTATGGTTTTTTATGTCATAATGATAGCACCTAAACTAGGGAGGCGTATGAGTGCATCAAAGACCACAAATTTTTGTATCAAAACTCTGCTTTTTACTCGTCTTTTAATACCCCTTCGGAGTTAAAAATAAGGAAATAAAGATACCTACATTTTAGTGGGTGGTTGTATTGAAATAAAGCTACTTTGTCGATAGTAGTGTTAGTACAAGACATTTTTTAAATGTAACTACCTAGATAGTTTTTCCAAGCACTTAGTTGATTTTTGACAGCAGGACGCCCTATAGGCATCTAAATTGGCATGAAAAGGACAAAAGAAGAATTGTACTCTCATGACAGCTGCCAAAAAGCAAAGAATGCTTGGATGATTAAAATTGTTTTCTATTACCTTTCTTCCAACCCCAACTTCAAATACATACCCTTATTCAAGGGATATCTTACAAGCAGTACCATTGAATCTCTCGGTTTATCTGTGAATCAATGTGGTACCCTTCTAGTAGGTAAACAGTTTTCAATGAAGAGACTCTTAGCTTAGGGTCCTATTTAATTTATTCAGTAAGGGTCTGCGCACACCTGTAGATATCTCAGACACGCACACGCGCAGCACATTCCAGTAAAGACAGAAAAAACTACTTATGTAATTACGCGACAAAATGTTCAGTTTTGACACCTTCTCAATTTTATGCCACCAATATTCATTTAAAATGTCGCCAAAACGTAAGCATATGGCTTGCCCCGTGAAAAAAAGATCTCAACTCACTCTGCCAACTCAAATTTTACAAACTCTAATTCGGTATCATACCTACATAAATCACGACACGTTTTAACGTACTAAGTACTTTTCAGAAGACCGCACACAATTCAATACCTATCACAAAGCAAAACTGTAAAATGATAATTTCTCATTCAGATTGGTGGAACTTTGTGTATCCTATATATATTTTCGAATATGTACCTACCCAACGACTTTAGTAACTAAAATAGTAAAAATAAATAATCTAAAAATTCTTTGGCATCACTACATGGATGGTCCATCCGTAGTCCACCCTTAATACAGTCTCACACACTAACTCATGAACAATTCTATTTTTAAGGTTTCGCTTTTCTTCTGATAGATGCCAAAAATTCGGACAAAAACTATGTTGTACGATTCAATAAATGTCGCTGCATCTAGAAAAGTAACAATTATTGCTGTAAAATGTTACAGTCAGAAAAAAATTGCTTACTTTGGATTGTTCATGAGTGAGCGGGGGAGACTGTACAAGCCGGGATATTTTCTTATTCCCGCAGATGCATATCTGCTAGACGTCCCGCCGTTCTATAAATTGTGGATCCTAGTTCAATAGCTACGGAACAGGTTGTTTGAGGCAGTGGCTCGGCAAAGGCACTTCGGAAATGCCTTTCAAAAGCCCACGGCGCCACAGTGCATGACAAATAGCATCTGGCAGAGTTATCATTTACAAAAGGCCTTTGGTTCCAGATAAAGAAAAACTGTTTATTGTGATTGCGAAGTGCTTAACTATTATAATCAATTTACTGATTTGGGATCATCGCAAGACTTTTTACAATACAGTGGCCGACAGAATACCGAGACAAAACATGTTAATGTTTTTGGACGGAGCAAGTTCTTAAGAAACCCGTTCACCGGACACCGGAATTTAGTACAAAGTAATGTAAGAATTACTTTAGATTCAAAGTAAACGCGTTTTTTATGTCATTTATTACATATTTGAACAATTCATTATATCGCGACTGATCTACAAAAGTAACCATCAAAGGAACGGGACCAGTAAAGGAACCATCACCGTATGTACCTACCTACCTAATTTGTGACTATACATATAAGGAAGTATTTTTAGAGCAACTATGAATTCAGGTAAGATGTATCGTTATTTTAGGGAGGTAAGTACGTCTAGTAGAGAACTGATCCTGAAACTCTATTACTTTTATAAATTATAATACTATACTATCATTTACATTTTGTAAATTTTTTATCGTTTTCAAGACAGTATAAAAGAAAACAAAGTTCTAAAAAACGATGCAAAGTTGACAAAACCGCTGAATAAGAAGAAGTAATCTTGGTTAATTCCTTAAGAGGGGTTGCGCCGCAAAAAGGGCGATTGGCCCACCGTTTTTTCACCAGCAAACGATGTTTTGTCTCAGTTTGTTTTCTTTCACCTAACAAAGACACATGGGTTCACTTACGTAACAACCACTTATGAGCCCCTTTTAGTGGCGGAAACGTGGACACGCTGGTTGCGTGCTTAGGTACGTACTTATACAGGGTGTCCAGAAAAAAACACTTTCTAGCCAGAAAAAAGCCCCTGAAAAGAAAATCTTTAGCTTTTGTCGAAGCTGCCTAATAACCTGATAAACCCAAGTAGGTACTTACTTGTTTTGGAAAACTCCTGGTTACTACGAAATTCTTACAGAAATTTGTGCTTTTTGTCAACCTACTTAACGAAAAAAAACCAGTATGAATACAAAATTACCTTTTGAAGACTTTAAAATTACCAAACTGAAAGTAAGTAGGGACTTAACTTTTTTGACCTACACGCGAAAAACATGTCATGGCAACATTTTGTTTTGCCCGTTCCTTAAAACTTCTTTACTAAAAGATTGCACCGATCTACATTTTTGTCTTTCAAATCATTATGATCTTCAGAAATCGTAAAAAGACCTTACCTACCTAACCATAGGTACTGTGCTTGCTAGGTTCTATATTTTTAATCAAAATCTCCCAAATCCACTTAATTAAACGTACTAATTGAATTTCCAGGTCCTATTATCAAGAGGAAACGAGTTAAGTAATGGCGATTCGATCAGGAGATTAGATCATTAAATATAATGAGATTTTAGGGTCTTGATCAAAAACCTGAATTAGTTTATTTTATTTTCCGGTTCCGGTTTTGACAACCGGTAGGATAAATTGATGATAGATTTTATAGATAAATTCAAGTAAGAACAGTTCCGCCCGATACCACACAAGAATTTAAAGAAGGACAGCTCGTCCCTTCTTCCGATTATTATGCCTACTAGGGTTGCCACCATTACACAATAGGTATTTATTCTTTAGTTGTACAGCGTGCGGTATGATCCTCTTCGACCATTTCTTTTTCAAGCAAGATGTACTATTATGTATTCTGTGGCAAGACACATATTACACAGTGTCTAAGCAACGGATTCCATTAAACTACTTATCAACATCGATACTATCGATACAATACAACTTATAAGATCTTCTCCTTAATTTTGAGTGGAACTCAGTGTTTGTAAGAGTTTTCAACCGTCTACTACAAGTAGCAGACTTTTGACATGGTTGAGTAACGACCACCGGCTTAGTAATCATAGACAGCAACCGGGGCCGACAGCTTAACGTGCCCTCCAAAAGCACCATAATGCTTCCAGACAATTAGGTGTTTCAGCCTGCAATGTCCAACCAGATTGGGACCACATTCACAAAGTGATAAATATCAACTTTGTGTAATGATGACCCACCGGGAATTAAACCCGGAACTTTCTGCGTCGCAAGCAGTCGCACTACCTATGCGCCACATCGGCCGTCACGCCTTATCCGATAACCAACATGCAAACGGTAGCAGGTAACACAACTCACAACCGCCAAGTTTGTTTACAAATACCCACAACTATATTTTACACCAATTTTGATTCGAGTACTTCAAACAAGACATGTTTTTAGTAAATGCATTGTACAATTTACATACAATTTATAAATCTGTAAATCAAATAACTAACAGTATAAAGCACTACTCTCCGACTGATGCGATGGCTTAAAATTCTTAAGCACTTTAACTAAATTAAATTTATCGGAGAGAGTTAAATGGCTTGTGGGCTCGGGGTGAATTTGATTAACATCAGTTCGAGATAATTAAGTTAAGGCTAAACATTCAAATTAATTGCTTCAGTCGTATCGATTAGATTCATGTATTTATGTTGTTTAACATTTACAACGAAAAGGAAGGCATAGCGCATCACACTTCTTGTTAAATAGAGCTCAGTAGTCCATTCTGCTAACATGACAATAAAGCATTTTCCCCATAATTTTCCTGTAGTAATTGAAAAAGCAAAGACCGTGTTTTACACTGTCAAGTTTAGAATTTTTCAGTCAAAAAATATGAATAAAACTATATTTTAATTTCGTTTGCGGAGGTTTGAATTATTTTTCATAGTTTTTCTTGTAGAGTGTAGATAAAATAGTGTTTGCAACTGCATATAATTAGGCTTTAGAATCACACTATTACATCAAACAGGCACTCACATCCTAAAGCCTCTCATTATAAGGCAATTGCATAAACTACTATTTCACATTTATATTAAACTACCGACCCGCTCAGCGGTGGCACTCATTGCTAATCGTTTTCCAAAAGTAAAAATATTTTCTCGGTATGTTTTATGTATACCTTTTGAACCGCTCAACCGATTATTAAAAGCAATGATCATATGTTCTTTTCTTCTGCGCTCTGCCGTCTGCCGAAGCATATATTGGACTGCATGCCGTGTCATGTAAAGGCATTTGTGGAAAAAACCTATTTCCAATCACTGTTGTTTGACAGAGCGAGCGTAAAGAGTTGGCAATGAGTCCTGTCCTCATAAGCGCTTCTAGTTAGAAAATTCTGAACAACCAATTTTACGACGGAACTTTAATTAATATACTTACGTTGCTGGCCTCACTATCTTATATATTTGTCGTGACGCTATAGGTAATACAGAATGGGCTAGCCATAAGGAACAACTTTCCCCAAGGAAAAGGTCCAAATATAAAAATAAATTGGACCTGTCATACAAATTGCCTTGGTCGGCTGGGTCCTTGGAGAAAACCTCTTCCTTCCTTATGACCAGCCGGTCCAGAGGTTCCGGTATAGGTCACTAGCAAAATTTCACCCTGTATGTAATTTGCATCTGAAACTCGCAGTTTTAATGCGTTACGTTAAAATGATTCCAGCTTGTGATTCCAGTAAAAATGTCCATCACTGGGTAACTACTAACTATTATCTATAGTCACTATAGTGGTGGGCATAGTCGCGTCGGTTTATTATAGTACTGTGTACCTAAACTTGTTCTCTACTACGCGAATAGGAATAAATAGCTATAAATAGGCAGGTGTGTAGTATATACGAGTAGAGTATGTACCGGTAAAATGACAAACATCGCTAGATTATAATTCATCTCGCTTAATACAATACCACGAAATATTGTAAAATGTTATGTTAAATTGTAATTTGTGTGTACGACACAAGTCACAATTTATCGTAACATTTTTTTAGCAAAATACAAACTAAAAAGTAAAATTATATTATGACACAGAACTGTGTTCTATTTTTTAATATTTTTTGTCTCTTTTGTTGTTTAGAGAGCGTAATTCGTCGAATCAACTTTGATTTTGAATGCATTTTGGCTGAGATATAGGCATTTGAAGCACATTTCTTCCAAAAACCAAACGTACCCTGAACCTATGGCACGCATTTAAATTAACACCCTGTATAATAAAACAAGCCTCAAAAGGAGTTGCAAAATTATCGTGTACCTATAGCACAGAATATATAATAGTACTTACCTAAACAACCAGCCAATTTCCAGCTTTGCCAGCCACTGGCTGCTATTTCATAAAGCCACGGCCTTTCATCAAAGGAAGACCGACAAATATTGTTCTTGAACTTTCCAACCCCTGGGAGCTTGCTAGTTGCTATGTGCAACTGGTGTGCTCTTTCAATGAGGAAGTTTGTATGCTTGTTTGTCTTTATTATTTGAAGCGGTATTGGTAGTTTTGTAACTCAATTTGGATTTTGATTTTCACGCATTTGTTTGCCAATTGTGTTTCATTTAGCAATAGTGAATCTCGAGAAAACGGTTTTGTAAGTTCCGTTCTAAGGTTTGTAAGTTGAAAAACCTATATTTTATATTATGGTACCCGACTTGGACAACTAGCCAAATTTTTAAAATGTTGTCTTTCGGTCCCTATAAAAACCACAAATTTTTGAATATTATAATTTATTTTTTAAATTCATAAGTGTATTTCAAAACGAAGCTACTTGCCAAATTTCATTGTTCTAGGTCTACAGGAAGTGGGTGAATCTTTGAGAGGTCAAAATTTTCGGTCACACGTTAAGAGCGCATTCAATTTTTTCTAGCAAATTTGCAAATATTGGCTTTATAAACATGCGAGTTTCTCGAAAACCGTTATGTAAAAATAATATGTTACTTGAACATTTAATCAAGCATATCTTCATCTAAAAAATGTACAATGTAAATATTAACATTTTAGTTTTAAACCTGTTACAAACAGCGATATCTAAAGCGACAAAACCAAAATTCAGGAAAAGACCTCAAATCAAGCGTGAGTTTTAGAGTTTTGGTTCACTGTAAAAAAATATCAATTATACAAAAAAATTGAGTATATATTTGAGAACAAAGTCTACAGTGAACATTTTACAATTTTATTCAGAAATATAGAATAATACCACGTTTTTATATACGATTTTTTGCAAAATAATGCGCCATTATAACGGCTTCTGTATGAAAAAATAACAGTAGTAAAGATTTAAAAAATATATTTTATTTAAGAAGATGTACTTAATCTAATTGCAGAAAAATATATTTATTTTTATTCATAATATCACTGTAAAAAATATTCAAACATCCCCATGTTTTTCGCAAAATGACGCTCCGAGAGGTCTGGCAGGGAAAATTGTATGGGCTTCGTGAAAAGCTCTATAGCGGCCTTAATTGTTTCAAAGTTATAAGACTTACAGAGTTTAACTAATTTTCATATGAAAGAATGTTTAATTGGCTATCTGGAAACTTAAATTCCATCCACAATTTATAAAATATATTTAACTAAAACTTGATTTGAAACCTGAAATCGGGGGTAAAATACGCGTTCTTCGCGTGTCACACTTAGCTGTTCCAAAATTCAAACACGTGTAGAATTTTATATAGCTGGACATGATGGAATATTTTACCTATTAAAATAATCCTTATATAATGTAGATTTGTAATAAATTATAAATAGTACAATATTTAACTGTGTTCACCGATAAAACTGTCGTTTTATGTTGGTCACACGTTTTTGTGTTTTCTGAACGCGTGGTCTTAAACGACTCGTATGTTACAACTAAGAGAACTATTAGCTAGGTCTTGTTTCCTCCTTCTGCCAGGAACTCTTCGTCATCTCAGGAGAGGAAACAGGTGGCTCCTTGGCACTCCCAAAATAAAATAGGAGGTTTTAAGTTTTCGGGTCATATTTTTATACTTGCGTCAGGTCCTTTTCCTGGGCATGTTTTCTAAGTGAAAGAGTTATTACAAAGAAATTGTTCTTTGAACATAATGTCATATATTTCATTGAGATTTAAGATTTGTTTACAAATTTTGATCATATTTAATGGTTTACGAATAAGTCACAAAAAACATAAAATTCGGTCCTTTGACTGGCGCCATTTGACTGGCATTTTCTCCAGTCAATGGACATTTCTTACCAGTCAAAGGACACATGTTATTTAATTGATTGGTTTTATACTCTTTGTGCATACTTTCGTGTTTTGTGGCGTGTCTACAGAGATGAATAGCACCACCCCATGTCAGCCCAGTTTCTGTGGATATTGCTGGTGCCCAATGGTCGTGGATATTAAGGGTTTCTAGGAGGTGAGCAGCACCGTTTGTCGTGTCGATAGTCTGAGTCACTCATCAATTCTCATGTGTTTGGCTAGTTGCGTCGTGTCTTAGGCTGGCTGCGTTATGTCTCAGGCTGATTGAATTGTCTCTCAGGGTGAATGTGTCATCTTTCAAGCTGACTTCGTCGTGTCTCAGGCTGGCCGCGTCGTGTCTTAGGCTGATTGCATCGTCTCTCAGACTGACTACGTCGTGTCTCAGACAGCCTAGTAGTCACTCGGGCTGGCTTCATTTTGGTGCTCGTTGTACCTACTAATGTATGGTTTTTACCTATGTAGAGCTGCACAACTTTAGTCAAATCACCATAGTTACAGAATTACACGTGTGCTTGCTAGCAAGACGTTTCTTCATCTTTTTTTTTTTTTTTTTTTTTTTTTATAAATAATGGGTAAGCATTTGTCCGCAATCTCACCTGATGCTAAGTGACGATGCAGACGATGATGGAACATGCTCGCCCAGATAATGCCTATTCACTCTCGCCTTGAAAAGGCCCAGGTTATAACGTTCCGGAAACAGATCCGCAGGCAGGGAGTTCCACTCCTTAGCAGTTCGCATTAAAAATGTAGAAGCGATCTATAGCTCAGTGTTAATAGTGTATAACTGACTGACTATACACTGCATTATTACGATGAAATTTCTGCATTTGATTGCCCTAGTTTTGCACAAAACCTACAGCCATTATACGCTTCATTGTGTTTCAGCTGTCTCCTTCATGTGTCAGGCTGGCTAATTCTTGTCTCAGGCTAGCCTCGTTATGTCTCACTGACTGAGCTGTGTAACAGGATGCCTAGTAGTCACTCAAAATGGCTGCTTCTTATCACAAGCGCACTTTATTGTGTTTCAGGCTGGCTGCATCGTTTCTCAAGCTGTTCGCAT